TGTTACATCTAACGTTTGATTTTGTCAGTTTTTATGAACTTACCCCTTTTTGAATACATTGGATTTCGGTAATTTTGTTACACCTTCATGTAAATGCCCCCAAAAAAATAATACAGAGCATGATATATAGTGTATAGATTATTAGTAATGAAAAAATGTTCATTGAAATCCGTGACTTCTTGGAAAACACAAGTGTATTGAACTAAATAACAAATGGATACACCATATGAGGAGCTAACGGAATTCACTATCAAAGAAAATTAAAGTGAGTCTACCGATATTAACAATGAGTTTAAAAATTCACGAAGCAATGATTATTTATATAACTCTGCATGAAATGTTTAAAAAAAATAGTTAAAAGTCTAAAATGTTGACTGTACATAAAAGCATTCAAATTCACCTATTTGCAGTCACATTGTTTGTTTGTCATGTTTTCTATGTTTCTAGGGTGTCCAAACTCGTCCCGACATTGATCATCCTTTTTAAAACGTATGTAAAGGAGATTTTGGAGTAACTCTTCGGGTAAATAGATTACAACTGACATCTAAATAGAATTTGTTCAGTGCTATTCAATTACCGGATACATTGATTATCAATTGATAATGTCTTTTCTATGTCTGTAAGTGTCCAAATGCATAAACCGTTCCATTAATTAAAAAAAGAATCGCATCTGACATATTTAGAAAGATATCAATATTTTGAAATGATTTTTAATTATATCATAACTTCCCTCCTACAGTAATAATCAGAGTTGTTATGGATTCATGTAAACACTACCGTGTAGCTATGGCCATACTCCCTCATCAATATTATGCTGATTTAAACTAAATTTATTTTATTTCTCGTTAATCAAATTAAATCTTAATAAAATTGTATATGCAAATATTTAAGAATACTTAAATGATTTTCAATTCCAACTGTGAATAAATGACATATATTTATTTTTTAAAACGGTCTACTTGAAGAAGAGAGGCAAAAGATACCAAAGGGACATTCAAAATCATAAGTCGAAAATAAACTGATAACGCCATAGCAAAAAAACGAAAAAAAGAACAACACCAACAACAGTAACAAAACACAACATACAAAACTAAAGACGGAGCAACACAAACCCCACCAAAAGCGTGTTGTGATCACAAGTGCTCCGGAACGGTAAGCAGATCCTGTCCAACATGTGGCAAGTAGTGTTGCGCATGCAAGTACAAATCCGGTGATAAGTCTAATTCGGTACGTCACATTCGGGGAAAAGGGGACGGGATTGTAGTAACGATAAATGGAACATATCCGTCGTCATCTGTGAAACAGATATTCCATAACGTTAAACTTACTGATGATGGCGTCCATAAAATGTTAAAAGGGATGATCATCAATTGGAACTCTTGGTTTCATAGCTTCATTGTGAGCAGCAACCATACACATGTACCAAAGAAATTATGAGAGGAAATGCAAGCCCTGGAATATCATATCAACTTGGACATATATTCACCATATGCACGCGCTTCTGGAATGTTGCTACATAGAAATGGAAAGTTCACAACTGGGAGGCTGAATTCATCTCTATCTACCCGTATTGTCAAGATATGAGGCAGACATAACTGTATTTGTAAAAGTGTATCCTTTATTTTAAATTCTATGGGATAGATTCGTTCAACATAGTTACCAAAATTTGATATATTTTGTGAGAGAACATAATCAATATAGCGGAAAGTGATGTTAAATGAGTATACTATCATAATGCTAGCTTCTTTGCATTCTTCCTAAGTTACATGTATATGTATCTAGAGAATAAACGGGTTCATTCTGTACATTGTTAAAAAATATATTAACGAAGTGGTCATTCTTTTTTGCTTCATTACTATTCATATGTTTAACCATAACATAGGAAAATCCAATCTACTTGTCTTTACACATATTTCGCGATAGTATAAATCACTAATAAAAAAAAGATTAAAACTTTCTATCTGCAGATATACTTATCTAAACACAGAATACACAGACAAACAAAAACGTCATATAAAGTTGATCTTTGCATTTTAATGTTCATAAGGGCTACAACCGGTTTTAAAATAAAATTGAAAAAAAAAATCTCTACGAAGATTCGTTGATCATGATTCAGAATTCCAAATTAATTCGCATACTTTATATGGTACAATATTTTTTCAAAGTACTATTACTAGTTTATAGATTTTGATCTGAAATAGCCAATATGATCCCCCCGGCAACTTAAAAGACTACAAAATGAATAACTGTAACGTTTGATTCATATCATTTTAATTGTCAAAACAACTTTATAACTTTACGCTGCTTCCTGACGTCAATTAAGTGTTTCATAAATAAACTCATCATCATAGCTACCAGGATTGAAACTTTGTACGCCAGACGCGCGTTTTGTTTATAAAAGACTCTCGAATAAAAGAAGTTAAAAAAAGGACAAATAAAGTATAAAATTGAAGGTCGTAGAGGACCCAAAATTTCTAAAAGTTTTGCCAAATACAGCTAAGGTAATCTATTTTTGAGGTAGAAAGCCTTCGTACTAGTATTTTGAAAATTCTCAGTTTTGTAAACAATTGATTTATAGTTATGACCATATCAATGATAAATCATGTCAACACAGCTGACTACTAGACTGGTGATATCATCGTGGAGAATAACTCCACCAGCTGTGGCTACGACCCAGTTGTTGTAAATAAACTCATCATAGATACCACAGTTGATTTTTTTTGTACGCCATCATGGCGCTGCTGTTTAAGATCTAATCGGGGGTACAGTATTGTACCTAACATAAGAGTCAATAGAAAGAACATCTTTGTATTTTGAAAACACTCCATTAAAAATATGGTCGTTACCAGTCATTCTAACATATGTTAAATGATTGACGTCGAAGTTCAAACGACCCTTTCTTTTGATACTTTGTTTTTGCACTATTTTTAATTTATGTCGTTTGCTCACATTTATCCCACATCATTTCTGTGAAAGAATATACTCATACTGACATCGATAACAGCTATACGATAATTTGACGCTCAATAATGTAATGTGGTACTTCTGAGTGTTGTGTGGTACTTCTGATTGATGTTACTTTGGTGGTGATCATACTACGTTGGGCATATGGAATAAGGATTTATTTTTTAAAACAAATATTCAAAAGGCAAAAAATTTCCTAATGTGATTATTTATTGTTTGTAGGATAATCAATACGACTTTCCACAGGAAATTTCGTTTACACTGGAGACATTTTGGGATGTAATCAACAAGAATGAAGGATATGTGGCCAATGAGAAAACAACCTAAAATCAAAGACACCTTCTTGAGCATTGCTACTCCATTTGTTGAATAATTTTCATCATAAATATTGGTAAATTTCAGGTCATGCTTTTGTTATAACATGTTAATACCTCCGCTATTGTCAATATTTCCCTGAATTAAAAATGATCAATCAATATTTCCATTTTCTATTAATTAAACAAAATACTACAAAATACTGAATGCTATACAGTTAGTAATTACGATAACTTAGGTATGCATGATCATTTATCAAAGTTGAAACTAAATAAATATTTTATAATTGGGTTTCAATATTGGAACTGGCTGATCCGTTTAACCAGTACAACACTCCCATCCCCTTGTCACCGTAGGTGAGTTATGACAGAGACTTCATACACACTCTTCCTTTCTTCGATGCAACAATAATAGAATAAAAGGAATATAGTCTAACAGTTTGGACTGTTTGCTGATCCAATACAAACAGTTTTGTAAAATCATACTGAATATTAAGTCCAATAACCATGAAGAGGGTTTTTGAAATAAAAAAAAAAATCTTTATTCACAAGATTTCATTAATATGAAATCAACCTTTTCATATTTAAGGTACATATATCTGTAAATCAATCAGTTATACTTTGAATTGATAACAAATTCCGGGTGGTTATTATATTTGATTGGTCGATTGTTGGTTGTTTAACGTCCAGTGGCAAATATTTCATGCATGTTCAGGACGATTTAATTGTTGAATCAACGCGTAGCAATTGCAAATGTAAAATTCAATTTGAATTTGTTATTAAGGTATGTGTACTATTTCCACGAATTTTAATGTTTTTGATTAAATTATTTTCTAAAAAAATTAAGGTAGTACCAATAGAAAGTAAATAAATTTCAAAAGATACGAATGCATTATGTAAAAAAGGTTATTTAATGTTTCTAAAAAAGTTATGGTTTGAAGGTTTGGTTATATCTTGCACATAAAATGCATTGGAGATTTCAATTATGAACCAATGGAGATGCTGGATATACGTTATTTAGACAGCAAACCAACACCACAAAAAAAAATATTCAAGGTCAACATACGTACGGTCTTCAACAAAAGACGTGTGCCTATCATTCATATTGTACATATATTTCAGTACATTTTATAGTACTTAGAAATAATATTTGTTACCGTCTCTCACGCGTTGCTTAGTCTTTAGTGTTCTATGTTGTGTCATCTGTACTATTATTTGTCTGTTTGTTTTTATTTTTGGCCATGGCGTTGTCATTTGTTTTCGATCTATGAGTTTGACTGTCCCTCTGGTATCTTTCGTCCCTCTTTTATGGGACAAAATCAAATCAAATCACATGAAATCTGTTTCAGAAATTAAAAATTTTAAAACGATGCTGTATATTCTTGAGGGAAAATTGTAAACTTAATTTACAGTCGCAAATCACGCTGATGGGACAATATATGGTCTAATTACTTTATCAATAACGGTTAACGGCTATAATACACCACAACATCAGTTTAAATATTTGATGACTAATCTGGTTGGTTCTGTAAAATTCTGAAATCGACATTTTATTGGTGTTTACATTATCATTAATATAACAAGCGATTTTGAATTATCCTGTATAAACAATTACAGAATAATAAAGAATCTGCCAATAAGTATTTTCGAAGTAATATTAAGTCTTTATTTCCTAACAAGAAATGACCAATATATGATATACATTTGATGTGATAACATCGTTTGACTGAACGTGTATGCAATAATCTTATTATTAATAAGTATATAGATTATGTATACGGATTTAAATGGAATTTAATGGAGAGTAATCGATAGAATTATCCAGACTAAGAGGATTTCCACTTGACAGCCATTCAAAAATATTTGTTGAGATTCATTTGTTAATTATTTACTTAATTAAACTGTTATCGCTTTTCCTCAGCATTTGATTAAAATGAAGACAGGAATGAAATCATTAATACCGTACTATTTTTTATGTTTGACAAACGGTAAGTACTTTGTATATTACTATATACTTAACATGAATAAATGATTGTTGCAAAGCTAAAAACAATTCTATAACATATAATTACAGTATATCATATTACATTTAATGCATATACATTTGTATAATAACAACCCTGAAACATTAAAGTGTTTAGAATCTCAAAAGTGAAATATTTTAATGTAATATATGTTTTTCTGCTAACTTATATTTATTGTCTTCACATATTCAGATACACATGTACATGTAATGCTGTACATGTAACACGTGCGCTAAAATAACAATATGAAGAGCATATTCCTTCATTCCCACATGATTTCTTATGTTTGCACATAAACAAGGGATATCTTACACTGTGGTTGGCTTCACAGCTTTTCTTAAATCAATATAAATAATAATTTTAATTTTTATACAGTAACTGTTTATATCATATGTCATGAAATATATTACTTAAGCATAATACCAAGAAATCGAATAATTATTCTAATCAGTAAATGCAAGGAAAATTTTCATAATTTTCATAAAAGGATCTTAAATACTAGCCAAATCCATATGAGGTCAACATTGCAACAGGAGTTGAAACCTTAGTTTCTTCATAATTTGTAAATTTACAAAAGGATTATTTAAGAAAGGTTTGTTATAAATCATGTTCGTACCGAAGTACTGACTTCTGAACTAATGATACGGAACTGGAATTACCTTCATCAGGAAAGCTTAAAGCATACTATTTGAAAGCAAAGAATAGCCAGCTGAGGACCACCTCCGGGTGCGGGATTTTCTCGCTGCGTTGAAGACCCATTGGTGGCCTTAGGCTGTTGTCTGCTCTTTGGTCGAGTTGTTGTCTCTTTGACATATTCCCCATTTCCATTCTGAATTTTAATGTATAGTAATCGAAACAGTTGAAGATCTATGTAACCAAAAGGACCTAAAATACAAGCCAAATCAATCTTTTAAAAAGTCAATAACAAATTGTTACTCTAAATCTGGTACAGTAAAATTGGTACCGTTAATGTTATTGTCTAATCTGTAACTTCAAAATTGTATAATCATTATTGATGGCAGTGTTTACGGACCTTTAACCAAATTGATTGATTTGTTGCTTGCTAAACGTCCAGTGGCAATTATTTCATGCATTTCAGGACGAAAAACTATAAAAAATCAATACAATAGGTAAAATGTAGGTTTTGCAGGGTTAGACGTCAGGAATCATCTACCCTGGACAAGGGCGGGAAATTTTTTATGCCACCGAAAAACAATAATGCTGGATAGGAACAGACATTTTTTGTCAATCGCAACAGCTCACTTTCGGACTCTGAAGTGTTGTTGCAAGGATTCTTTATCGTACAGAGAGCGTTGCTCTCTCTCTGCACAAGGCATCTGATTTAACGTCCCTATTCTGACCTCAAGAGTGGAACTTTAACATCCAGCACAGCCAAAGAATGCCCCACTTTGGCAAGGGTTTTACTGTTGGTGGGAAGAAGACCAAGAAGGTGAACATACATAGCTAGCTATAAAACCAGGTTTAATATACAATTCTCTACATAAGGAAATGCATGTACCAAGTCAGGAATATGACAGTTGTTTTCCATTCGTTTGGTGTGATTGAGCTTTTGATTTTGTCATTTGATAAAGGAATTTCCGGTTTGAATTTTTCTTGGAGTTCGGCATTTTTTGTTATTTTACTTTTTATACATTGTATTTCTATATCTTAGTCATTTAAGATTGAGCCATTAAGACTTGAATTTTGATTATGTGGGTTCATTTCATGTTAGTTTTTGGAATCGATTTTAGCAATTTAATAATAATAATTAAAAACCAATCGTCCAGAGAACAATTGATGGTCTTTCCACCCCTAACGATATATTTGGAAATGAAAATATTAAAATTCGGTTTAAAATGTCAGTTCTAGTGTCAAATGATAGCCCATTGTTTGCTGATTCCAAAAATATATGGTTTCTATACAATTTTATTTGAAATAAGGGAGATAATTTGTTACTTCCGGACTGAAAAATGGCATTTCCGGTATTATTTAATAGTTAATTTGACACTGCTTTCAAAAATATATTAATCTATACATTCTTACATGTTATAAGTACAAAAAATTGCCACTTCCGGTTTACATAAAGTCACTTCCTGTTTTTTTTTCAAGGTCATATGGCTTGTAATCTAATGCTTAAAGTCCTATGGCTTTATGATGTATAAATATGAATTTAAAGCAAAGGTTAAAATCTAGAACATCAAATTTACTTATGACCATTACCTCAATTTCAAGGTCATAAACCAAGGACATCAAATCAAAAGATCCTAGGTCTTTATCATATATGGTTAATGAGTTATATTACTTTACGCATAATTCTAAATATAACAAGGGCTAAATCTCCCATTTAATGTCTACGCACCGTTTCAAACAAAAATTATGTGTTACGACATATCGCAACTATCAATTTAGTTAAAATTATTTGTCGATATCTTATACTGTTTCTGAAAAGAAGTGAAAATAAGCCAAAATCTAAATTTAGAACATGACCTTGACCTTTGACTTTTACCTTATTTTCTTTGTTTTGGAAAAATGAGCTCAAATCAAAAGACCCTAGGTCTCTATCACTTATGGTTTACCAGTTACATTTACATTTTTCTTAATCAAAATATTAAAGGGGAAATAACTCTCATATGGAGACTCCGGACCGCTTCGGTCAAAATTATTCTTAAGATCCTGAGGATATAACGAGCAAATTGGAGAAATAATTTTGTCGTAATCTTTTACGGTTGCGAACATCTTTAACAATTAAAAACCAATTGTTCAGAGAACAATTGAATTTCTTTCCACACAAGAAAAACGGTGTTTGGGGAGATAACTGTTACAATAAAAAGTGTTCGGCTAAACAGGGTCAGTTTCAAAATCGCAATAAGTATTAGATATCATATGCAAAAAATCTAAGCGACATCTTGCGAAACCACAAAGCACCGTAAGAAAAAATTAATAATAATGATCAGAACAAAATCAATAGGTCTTTCCACAGAAAAGTGGAAAGATATAATTAACAAATTACAATTGAAAGTGGTTAAAACAGGAAATCTGAGTTTTTGAGTTATTCTTCTCATTACAATATTTTATTATGGTCATTGTATTGTTTGTTCTTCTTTCATGATTCATTGATTTCTTTTAACTTTGTAAGCACCATTCCATTTTCTGTTAAATAATTATCAGCTTTCTTTGTAAGAAAAACCCAACAGTACTGGCAAACAAATTAAAACTGTATACATTTGTACGAGTATCATGGAAATATAATAAACATTTCGAATATGTGTACTTCATACAAAACGTAAAGGTGTATACCTGTTTTGTTTGCATGGATACCACATAGTCAGTCAAAGCAATACTTTTCCATATAATACCATGTAATCATTTTCCTTATGAAAACCATTGTCATTTACTAACCAGGTAAGAAAATTACAAATACACAGAGTATGACTAAACTGTAAGGCGGTAAGGATAGCATTTTTGATGGAGATGGAAAGTATTCATTTGAAATTTCAGACGATCGTAAACTGCTTTTCAAAATGTTTGCCGCTTGATGAAGGGTATCCTCTTGGAAGTATGGAATCATTTACGACATTTTTTTTCTATTTCTGAAAACAACCGATTCCACTTTCGAACAGCTGGCGTTGTGAATATCCTTAAAAACACTAATTGAGCTACTGAAAATTATGTTTGATCTACTCTGTCCTCTTTTAGTCTTAACAACAACAGAATCATCATAGTGGCTTTCTAGTTTGTGCAACAGTTTTTAACAGTTTTGTGTACTTGCTACTTATTTCATCTGTATGAAAGGAACAATTTGTATCAAGCAAATACGACAACACAATTTTTTCTCTTTTTACAAACAGATCATAGTGTAACCTTTCTGTTAGTTTTTTAACGTAACATCATGCATGCTCCAACTCATCTGAATCATCAGTCACTGTAGCATGTTCTTTTTTTTCAGTTCATCAAGTAGTTAGCAATAAATGCTAAATCATATAGCGCTTTTTCCTTGAAGTTTTCTATGAATAGTAAACTAACCATTTCAGAGTTAAACTGACACTTTTAACTCGACACACCCTAATTGCTTAACTGGTTTGTATGATATTTGTCTGCTGAATTAACATTGGGACCAATGTAATTGTAATGCCATGAAACGTGTTTTAAGCTTAATTTCCATAGGAACGTTTTGCACACGCTGGTGTGCGTCGGTCTTTTCCTAGTTAAAATGTTTCAATTTTTTTACTCGTAAAGACTTTATATCACGACTTGAAAATTCATTTGTTCTAATTAATTCATTTTGGTTGGATCGAATCCGTCATAAAATAGAAATAAATATTATCTTGTTGCACATCTATTGCATCCATAAGAGTGATTTTCTCTTTTTCTGTTGCATTTGAAAAAGTTTAGTTGCAGAAATTTGGCAAATAATTCAAAATTCTTAATTCATCGAGCTTACTATTTTTTGGCACCGAGTAGAAAGGAGTAGGTTCAGTAAGACCCCTTTTTGGCCCCAAAATATAGCAGTTTTACAAAATTGTTAAAATGTAAACTTTTAACTATTCATTGGAAAGAAGAATACTTCTGTTACATACAAATGGGCTGTTTTTGATAATACAATGCACATGTATCGGGTACTAGCATCATGAAGTCATGCTAAATAACTGAAATCTTCGGAATTTTAGCATTTTGGTTAATTTTTAGACGGTTTCCGTCTGAAATGGAAGTGGCCGCATTTGTGTTCATTCTTAATATTTAAATGTAAGTTGTATTTGATGATAATACATAACATATATAAAGGTTGAGAATGAACACGGATGCGGCCACTTTCATTTTTGACAAAAACCATCTGAAAAGTGACATATTATGGCATATTTGATAGATTTTTCATATTTAAGCTTGAATTTGAGCGTCTTTAATGACTAAATCGGTTCAAACATTTCACATTAACTGATTGAATCGACTGGAGTAGACATTTAAAT